AGGGTGAGGTCTCAGCAGCAGGGCTGCAGCAGCCTGCCTGCACTGTCTTTGAATGCTCTGCTTGAGCAGTGCTCGAGGTGTGAAGAGCCATTTGTTGTTACCAATCTCTACCTGTTGGGAAGTTCTGGTGAGATGTTAGAGCTTGTTCTTGGCAGAAGTCATGTCAGAGCACTGGGAGCAATAGGGCCATTTGCACACACATGAAACAGCCCTCCGTGTTCCAGCTGTTCACACAGCAGCGATGCAGAACAGAGGATAAAGCAGTTTATGAGCTGATCCTCTTCCTGCCTTCGCTCCTGAATGTTTTCCCATGCCTCTGTCCCTCAGGTTCTCGCCACACGCATAGTTGCCATGAAAGCATCTCTTTGCAAGCTCTCCTCCAGCACGATTGCCCGTGTTTGTGACTACCATGCCAAGCTGTTCCTGATTGCCATCAGCTGCACCCTGAAGTCGCTGCTGCGCCCACACTTCCTCAACACCCCAGATAAGAGTCCTGGGGACCGGCTCACAGAGATCTGCTCCAAGATCACAGATATAGGTGGGCATTGCTGGTGCACAGCTCTCTGGATGTCCTGCGTCGGCTCCTTTTAGACGCGGTGTGAAATGTCATAAGCTCGTAGTTGCTTTCCTGGGTTTGAGGAAGAGGGAAGTGAGGGTGGAGCGTGAGTCCATCTCCTGATTGAACCACATGTTCTGCTCCTGTTTCAGACATTGACAAGGTGATGATCAACTTAAAGACAGAGGAGTTTGTCCTGGAGATGAACACACTGCAATCTCTGCAGCAGCTCATCCAGTGGGTGGGGGATTTTGTGCTCTATCTACTGGCCAGCCTGCCTAACCAGGTGAGAGAGCCTGGGCTTCCAAAAGCAGTCCTTTATGAACCTCTTACACCTCTAAGCTCTGTGCCATCCTCTACCAGCCTGTCTGCTGTCCTGTAAATGGAACAACAGCTCCAGCAGGCTGAATTTAAGCCCCAGTCCCAAAACGTTTCTCCTCTTTGCAGGGCTCTCCTGTGAGGCCAGGCCACAGCTTCCTGCGAGATGGGCCATCCCTGGGCATGTTCAGGGAGCTGATGGTGGTGATTCGTATATGGGGGCTGCTGAAACCAAGCTGCCTCCCCGTCTACACAGCAACCTCTGACACTCAGGACAGCATGTCCCTCCTCTTCAGGCTTCTAACCAAACTCTGGCTGTGCTGTAAGTGTTTGCCAGTTTCCTCGAACAAAAGGATCTTGCCTGGTTTGGATTGTGCATGCTAGAAGTAATTGCAGGGAATAACTCTTGAGTGGGTCTATAGTGTTTAGAAAGGGCAAGTGCAGCTGCCAGCTTTATTGTTCCCTGTGCTGTGTTGGCGGATGGAGGAGGAAACTGCATCCACTTCTCTCAGTCTGTAAATGAGAGGTGTAAAGATCATGCTGGTTTTTCTCTCCTTCTGCTTCATTTTCCACGCAGGTCGTGAGGAAAATCACATCACAGAGCCAGATGATACCCTGATAGATGAGTGTTGCCTCCTGCCCAGCCAGTTGCTCATTCCCAATATTGATTGGTTGCCTATCAACGATGGCATTATCAGCAAGCTGCAAAACAAACAGCTTGTCAGGCTGCAGTTTGGAAAAGCTCCTGGGCTCATCGGTCACACTGTCTCTTCCCAGTTTGATGCCTTTGTAAGGTACAAAGATGTGAAACAAAGAGGTTGAGATCTCTCTGGGGGGTCGTTGGGTCTGGGATGCCTGTGTCACAAGTGGGTTTATTCTCTTTGCTCCCAGTCATTAGCGAGTTAAAGAACTGAAATGAGATGGCAGGAGGAGGGGGGGGAAAGTGCTCGTTTGTGTTCAGATTGATGTCAGCACGCCTTTGAATCCAGTGGCACTTTACAGAGTCTGTAGTCATAGCCTGGGCCCCACTGGCCATTGAAATGCAGCTCACTGTCCTGGCAACAGCTTGTAGAAAATGATAGCCTAGAAACCATCCGGTTCTTCTTCCTGCACAGGGCTCCTGGTCAGCCCAAAATCGATCATCTGAGAAGGCTTCATTTAGGAGCGTTCCCAACAGAGGAATGCAAGTCGTGCACCAGGTAAGTGATGCAGACGAATCCCTTCCGTGCAGAGGGAGGTCTTGGCAGAAACTCAAACTGTCTTTTGTCATTCAAAAGCTCCCTTGGTCTCTGTTTACCATCCCAGCTGGTATCCCAGTAACTTCTCCTGTGATTTACGCCTGCAGGAGGAAATGCTGCTTCTAAATTAAGGCCTCTTTATGGCACTTTGCATTTAAAGAAAGCATTTGTGGGTATGTTGAAGATATCCCTGATGTGGGAGAGGAAGATCCTTAAATGCTCGTTGGAAAGCAGCAGGGCTGACTCAGGAGAGCTGCTACTATCATTGCAAGTGCAGCTGTTAAATTTAAGCCTCCCTGCCTTGCAGAGTAACCACAGCTCTTTGAGAATTAACTTCGTTCCTCACCTCAGTTGAAGTAGTTCTTATCTAAGGGCTGAATGCTGCAATGTGGGATGGATGTGGTCTTGCTTTAGCAGAGAAATGTGAGGGCGGTCGGATGACAAAGGTCAACAGAGACCAGAATTTGCCTGGAGGGTCTTTATTGGAGATGAGATCCCTGGCTCAGCCTGCAGGCTCCCCTGTTCCTGGGGAGGAGGCAGTGAGTGCAAATAATGGCAGCACCCACGCTGCTGTTTTTGGGTGATCTTTCAAACTTCGGTTTGCTTTTGGACTTCTTTTGTGCTGCCCCCTCAGCAAAGAGCCATCGACCCATCGTGAGATGGAATTAGCTCTAATCATGAGTTTTAATAGGAAGTCTCTGTAGCAGATCATTTATACAAGATTGAGTGTCTGCTGTTTAAATAACAGCTGGGGGCTGTTGTGTGAAGACATCCCTCTGTTCCAAGATGTTTCAGTGCTCAAAAACATCACCTGCAAATGGCAGGAGATGATTTCCTCCTCATTCCCTGCTCGCTGGGTGACCAGAAGTGCCAGCATTGCTGGTTTAATTCCTGGCCTTCCCATCTTTGTGCTCTTCTGCTTTCTTCCTTTCCAGGTGTGGCTGCGTCACGATGCTGAAATCTCCAAACAAAGTCACTGCTGTGAAGCAGTGGGAGCAACGCTGGGTCAAAAACTGCCTGTGTGGGGGGCTGTGGAGGAGGATGCCCCTCAGCTATTCCTGAGAGCAGCTCCGTGGGGCACAGGGAGAGCAATGGGTGCCAGGTGGAAGAGCTGGAGGCGCTTTGGGAGCGAGGAGCTGCAGCCCTTGTGAGGCAGCACCCAGCTGTTGACTGGGAACACTGATATGTTCTTCTTCCAGCTGCAACACTGAAGATTGAACACTTTGAAGCCCTAAAAAGAAAAGAGGGGAGGAAGGAAAGGGACTTTTGTGGGGCTCCCTTTAGGCTTTACTCTGTAAAGTTTTCCCATTGCCACCAAAGGCAATGACAGCTGGAAGCCAAGGGCCAGGGAGGGGGGTAAAAACCTGCTGCCCTCGTTGTGTCTGTGGGCTGACCAAGCAGAAGGGCTGAGCCCTGCTTGACCTCCGGTGTGAGTGGTGATGAGGGGCTCTGGGGGTCCACAGAGAATCTCCAAAGGAAAGAGGAGTGAACATTTGGTTCCTTGTGTTCCTCCTTTGCTGTGGGCTGCTTGGGAAGTGTGGCACAGGTTGGTCGGTTCCTGTTTCCTTCTGCATCTCCGTGCTTTGAGTGAACTTCATCACTGTGTTTATCTGTGTTCTGATGGATGCAGGAGAAGGAACATGAGGTTTGCTGCCTGGAGCAAACCCAGCCAAGTAACTGAGCTCTTTTGTAAATAAAAGTGCCATTGATTTAATGACAGAATGTTTGGCTTGTTTGCAGGACTTCAGGCCTCTTTCATGTGACTTTGGTTGTGCTGTGAGCCCAGGGCTGCTGATGCATCAACACAAGAGAAGCAGGAAAGTGGTGTGAATTGCACCTCTGTTAGGAAAGGAGCTGCAAGCGTTTGCAAAATTGAATGGTTTTCAACTTTCCATCAGATTATTAGGGGCAGGAGAGAAGAAAACTTGGGGTAATGAAGAATGCTGTAAATCTGCAGCTTCAGACAAAGCTGTGTGCTGCAGTGTGCTGGAGGAAGAGCTTTCCTAGCATGCAACTCAGCCCGAAATCTGAGTGCTTTCAGCTGCTCTGTGAGGGTGGTTGGAGCCAATCTGGGGCTTGGCTGAATTCCTGCTCAGCTGGATTTACCTCTGGGTGTCCTCTGAGAGCATTTAAGGGGAGGACGATGCCATTTTTTTAATATTCACATCCCTCTGGGAGTGAGTTTTCATTTATTAGTGGAAAAATTGAGCTGGTGGCGAAGAGCTCAGCCCTCAGCTCTGCTGCTTTTCTGCAGAGCTGGTCTGTGCCTCGCTATTCTGCTAATTAAGGACAGTCAGATGGCTAATTAGGAAACTACAACTCCTCGTCGAGGCGGTTTTTCCCTGTAAGTAAAACTCATCAACGTGGGCCCTTGCTCATCTCCTTCCTCTGGAGGGACACTTTGGGGTTATTTAACATCTGTGGCACACAGAGGAGAGAGCAGTGCTCTGTTCCTGGGCAGCATCCCACCTTGCTGTGCTGTGGGGCACACAGGGAGGGCGGTGTGGGGTCCAACCCCTGTGGCTTATAGGGTCTGTATGCACTAAAGGATGGGGGCAGGGATGATGGGGATGATGTGGGGCCGTCCTGGCTGTGCCACCCCCAGATCTCAGCATCCCCCCACCCCCCCCTTTGTCCGGCTCCCCCCCCCCCCCCCCCCCACTCAGTGCAGTTCTGCCTGCAGCAATTGGCATTGCTTTATTGTGGTTGCAATACAGATGTGTCCAGCAAAGCCTGCAGCAGTGCCTCCCCCCGCCCGGGG